TATATTTGGAACAAAAAAAGATGTTCTTGTTCGGCTCGTCTGTTTAGCGAGCCAAACACGAGCTGTTCGCAAACAAAGAGTCGTATTGACAACCCTAATCACACAGCCGTAGGTTGTTAAGTGTTAGGGCGAGATTTAAATATTATTATTTATATTAAAACATCATATAAATATACTTTAATATATTTTTATTCTATTTTAAGTTAATAATTTTAATTTATTATAAATCTTTGCAGCCTTATAGCAAATTAAAATTTTTAAAAAATACTAATATAAAAATATATAATTTAATTATTTTGAGTCGAACGAGCCGAGCACGAATAAGTAAATTTTTATTTGTGTTCGACTCGCTTATATATCAAGCGTAAAGAAGTTGTTTCTGTTCAACTCGTTTACCTAGCAAAAGAATTGAATAAGAGCTTCTTAAAGAGACGGATAAAAGCCAACAACGAGCCATTTTGACAAGCGAACATTGCATCCGAAACAAATTTACGTCCCGAGTCCAGTAAAAACTTATCACATGGCAAGTGATTCACCATTAAAATGGTGATTTTGAAAAAAAGTGTGGGATCACTTGTCACGGGACAAATTTTTAGTGGACTACAAATTTACGTCGTGAATATAAAAATACAAAAATTACGATAAATTCGTAACAATTAAAGTTTAGTTATAAATATAAATGCATAAGAAAGTATTTAAGGAGAGCTTCGGAAAATACTGTAAACCCCTCACTGTTCTTCGAACTCGGATCAGAATCTAAGATCGGAGAAATGGCGGAATCAGAGGAAGTGGCGAAGCAATCCAACGGCGACATTGAGGTTGAGTTTGCCGGCGACGGCCCCCGCCTCGGCGCCGTTCTACGAGACTTGTTTGCCGGCCTCGCCGCCGACGGGAAGTCGCCGCTTTCCCATCGCATTCGAGTCTCTCTCTCCTCCAACGCACCTCGCCTCAAAGATGCGTCAAGGAACTCTGCTCAAGCTCTTGCAAAATGGACTCGACGGGGCGGAGCTCTGCGAGGTCTACTCGTCATCTCGGTTCGCGCTTCCACCCCTATTTTTTTCCGTAAATTTCCCTTGTTTTTTTTTTAATTAGGTTGCAGAATTTTGGACAGGTGACATTGATGTGCGTAAAGATTTGTTTTCTGTTTAGAATGATTAGTTGAATGAAACTATATTATGTTTTGGGTGAGTCTTAGGAACAGCGTAAAGGCAATCCTGATTCGAATCGAGAGGGAAGGCCTCTCCATGATCTCCTGGTCATCTAGACTTGAGAGCGATGTCCGTTTTTGCTATCTGATTGTTGTTGTTTTGTTTGGTTTAGTTCAATTAGGTTGAAGTAGTTGTATAAGTAGTTTGATTTAGCTGGATTATAAGCAATTGAGGTGAATTCGTGTACAGTGGCATAAATTGTTATGAGGACTTTTCCTCTTTGATATGATTAATTGTATGAAAATTCATTATGGTGTGGTGGTTCTACCGCATATACAATAGGCATAATTACACACATAACACCCAAAACATTGATATTTAGAAATTAACCACCCAGGTAAAGTATGAAAATTCATTATGGTGTGGTGGTTCTACCGCGTATACAATAGGCATAATTACACACATAACACCCCAGGTAAGTTTGTTGAATTACCAAACCGATGTATTTACACACACCATGGTCAAACTATCAAGAATTTGATAAAAATGAAAATATTGGTTGGGGTTTTACATTGCATTTTGATTTTTGAGCGAGAATTTGAAAACGGGATGAAAGAGGGTGGTTGATTTGTAAACAGCAAGTTTCGGTTGGTCTATACTATAATACACATATCAAGGATCTTCTCTTATTGTTATTATGACATTCTATTGATATTTCTTGTTTATTGTAACTTTAGTTTGATCCCTCCATTTTTATATCTGTAGGCATGATTTTGTATGTTCAGAACAGACGATAATATATATTCAATTCTCTCATTTTCTTTATCTTTCTAGCATTGTACTAAAGTTTGATTACTATTTGTAATCCTTGAACACGACACATCCTCAGAATCAATCTTAGCCCTACACATGACAAACATGTGACTCTTGAAAACTCAAAAAATATTGACCTGCTTGATATCATTTTTGGCGATCATAAGAAGGTCCTTGAGGTTTTCTCTGAGATGATCTTCTTGGGACTGATCTCGGCTTACACAACTCTTAATATTTCTCGGGGAAAGCTCAACTCAACTATTGCTTAAACCCCCTCGGGAATGCTTTGATCTACTTCACAACGTAGCTACTTTTGTTCTAACGGTCATAAATGCTGTATACTTAAAAGATACTTTAGCACTAATATAGCATTTACTACATGTTATGACATTCTTTTTATTTTATCATCTCATTTACTTACATCGTCCATTTGGTGAAGTAATATGCAACACAACTAGTGTTAATTGATTGCTACAATCAAACTTCATCCATTGCCACATAAACCATCATGGTCAGTCTCAAACTCTAAGAAAAGCCATCATAACTGGATATACTGTCAAATGTATCCATGCTTATCGATATCGACATATTAAAAATGAAAAGGATATTTGTGGTCCTCTAGATAAAGGTAAACTAAGTTCCATTTGTTTTTGTCTTGGGTTGTATTTGCTGTCTCTAATTTCTTCTCATCACTTTGAGTTTATTCTTCCTCATGATCTACCTAAATTCTGCTAAAATATGCTTTTTGGAGTGTTTTTTCCCTATCATACACCTCAATGTTGAATGCTCTCTTTTGCTTCATTTTAATTTTGGAAGCCATTGTAATTAATTAATTTCTCTATACTTTTCGAAGTTTAACAAGCTTTTCAGCAGGCCATACAATAAACATAGGTCAACTAATAAAACTGTTCCAAAACTCTCGTTTATTCTTTATTTGACTATTTTCTTTATCTTCCTCCTCATATATTAACTATTGTGAAGTGTGGTCTCTCTCATTATTTCTCTTTTAACCTTTGACCCACACATTCTTCTTTCCATCTTCTCAAGCAAACAAATTATATCGCTACCATTTCTGGTGTCTTTTATGGGAACCATCAACTACTCTTCTGTAAGAAATAGGGGAGCTGGTCAATAAAATCAGCAATAATCAAAACTTTTAGTCGTAGGCTCAATGCTACTTTGCCCTTCATCCGAGAGATCCTCTGGGTGGTAACACCTTTGTTACTCATGATCACCACTGCTCTCTCCTTGGTGATCTTTGTCAACTATTTGTCAATATGATTGGTCTTATCCAAACTTCCTTCAATTGTAAGCCCACACTAGTCAACTCGCTCGGTTGTTGAACAAGGGGAAGCCTTTGTTATGGGTGATGCTCAATCTCTCTCATTTGGTAGACCAAAACATCAATAACTCCCCTTCATCCCCAAGATCCTCGATGAGGTGGTCCCATTAAGTTTCAAGGCTCCACAACTTGAGATATACAAGGGGACCATTGGCCCTTTAGATCACTACTTTTGAGAAAATTATGTCAATATGTAACTTTTTCAATACCCTCAATTGTTAGTTATTTGTAGGCACCTTTAAAGCTGCTGCTAAAAGGTGAATCAACTAACCTTTTACTTCCATCTTAAGCTTCTTCAACGAAATCTTTCATCTATATTTATCCCAATTTACTGTCTTGAAGAGGCCTTTGACGATCTCTTAGCCCGTTTCTACATCAAGTAGAAAGAAGGTAAGTACCTTCAGGACTACATGAACATATTTAACAAGGCTTATGACAAAATCATTAATGACGGCAAAAATTCTGCCACAAAGTGCTTTTGTCATCTAGTTGCTGCCTGAGAATTTCAATTCTCTGTAGCCAAGAATCTTCCTGTTACCACTAAGAAGTTTGAAATGATTCCAAGTTCACCTCTGTCAAAGTGTTCTCTTGTGAGGTTAAGCACTTGTCACATTCCGTTCCTGCCTCATTGGAGAATAGGAAGATTGAATCTGAGGACAATTTCTTCTTGGTCTCTCACAACCACAAGGAAGGAAGAGTATCCTTCTCTAGCCAAACCGGTCACTTTTGTAGGTCTCACCATGTTGATCCTTGGAGATTGGCTCTTCCGCCACTCTTTGAGATATTATGTAATATCTCTTTACATTTTCTAATGCAGCCCCTTATCACAACCCTTTCAACCATTTTGGAGGAGCGCTTCTTTTAAGTGTTCTCCTACCTTCACCCTCTCAACCTTTTCCTCAGCGGCACTAAGAATGGGCCAACAATGCTCAAACACCCTATCAGCAGCTTCAACTTCCTTGAACTCTTTTTGTTGCGTGTCACTCTATCACTTCTTCTCCAACTGTCCATTTTCTTCTTTAGAATACAAGCATGTGATTAGCCCAAAGGCTTCTGTCACGTCAATGATGAGAATATTTGGGTGCTTTCACTCTCTGTATGACTACATGATGGGTACTTTTTCTTTCACCTATTATTAGAATGCGACAATTCTGTGTTGTTGAGTGGATGTGTGACACGATTGGAAAAATAATGGAGATTCTCAAAGCACCTGATATTAAAAAAGAAAAGAAATTGTTGGGTTACCATTTAACATCATTCTTCTTGATTAACTCCTTCATTCCCTTTAGGACAGTGAAGGACTTTGGGTTAGTTGTGTTGATCGCTGACACAAATTGGATGGTTCCTAATATCCCACCAACTTCCTCACTAATTGATAGATCTAACCCATTTCAAAGTATTGTTTGTAGTGGCAGGCCTCTTCGGCATTGAAAGTGAATTTTAGATTCTCCTCCCTACCTAGGATCCTTATGACATCGCCTTATCAGAGGGCGTGCCTATTCTTTAACCTCCTTACAATAGGAACATTGGTCATGTTGGGCGAAAAGTTCTCAGCGTTGAAGTTGCTAATAAACATAGGCATAGTCTGTCATTGCTTGACTTTCTTGACGAAATATTTTTTGGCTTATTATCAACCTTTGGTCTTTATGATCACGGAGATAGAAAACTTACAAAATCTCTCACAACAAAGAGTTTCACAGAGAAATGTCTAATACATGGAAGCCTAGACAGAAAAAATTGGAGTCATGTAAGCTGAGGAAAAAAAATATTATTGAAAAGTGGGCTGAAGTCCTTGAAAGACTAAATGTCGCATTCATTTCCAATGTGATGTATCTCAATTTGCATAATGATCATTTAAACCTTGTAGAAAAGCTTTTTTTTATATTACAATTCATTCAAATTTTGATATTCTTTTTTAGTCACTATCTTAACATCAAAATGCCTCTACATGAGATGACTTAAAGCATTCTACCCGGAATGAAACATTGATCAAAAACCCTATCAACAGCTTCAGCATCCTTGAACTCTTCTTGTTGAGTGTCACTATATCACTTCTTCTCCAACTGTTTGTTTTCTTCTCTAGAATACAAGCATGCAATTTGCTCAAAGGCTTCTGGAATGTCAATGTTGAGAATATTTAGGTACTTCCACTTTCTGTATGACTACATGTTGGAGTACTTTTTCTTTCACCTTTCGTTAAAATAAGACAACTCTGTGATGTTGAGAGGATGTGTGGCACAATTGGATATATAGTAGAGATCCCCAAAACATGTGATATTGAAAAAGAAAAGGAGTTGTTGGGTTACCACTTAAACTCTATATTTCTCGATTAATGGCTTCATTCCCTTTAGGACAACAGAGGAATTTGGGGTTAGTCGTGAATTTGGGGTTAGTCGTGTTGATCGTTGGCACAAATTGGATGGTTTGTAATATGACACAAACTTCCTCACCAATTGATAGATCTAACTCATTTTAAAGGGCCTCTTTGGTATTGAAATAGAAGGTTAGATTCTCCTCCCTACCTAGGATCCTTATGACATTACCTGACCAGAGGGCATGCTTATTCTTTAGCCTCCTTACAATAGGAGAGCATTGGTCATGGTGGGCGGAAAATCCACATCAGTGAAGTTGCTAATGAACATAGACATAGTTTGTCATTGATAGGCTACCTTGGCGAAATATTTTTTTGGTTTATTATCAACCTTTGGTCTTTATGATCGGGAAGAGAAACAACTTAAAAATGCTCTCTCAATAAAAGTTTTTACAGAGAAAGTCTAAAATAAGAAAGCCTAGACAGAAAAAATTTGGAGTCACTTAAGCCGACGAAAAAAAGAATTCTTGAAAAGTGGGTTGGAGTCCTTGAAAGACGAAATCCAATGTGATGTATCTCAATTTGCATAATGTCAATTTCATTGGAGAGAAGCTTTTTTTTTAATATTACAATTAAATCCAATGTGATGTATCTCAATTTGCATAATGTCCATTTCATTGGAGAAAAGCTTTTTTTTTTAATATTACAATTGCCATTCAAATTTTGATATTAATTTTTAATTACTATCTTATCATCAAAATGCCTTCACATGAGATGACTTTAAAAATCTTTTACCCTCATGGACATTCTACTCCGAATGAAACAATGCTCAAACACCCTATTAACAGTTTCAACATCCTTGAACTCTTCTTGTGTATGGTCACTCTATCGCTTCTTCCCCAACTGTCTGTTTTCTTCTCTAATATACAATCATGCAATTAGCTTAAAGACTTCTAGCACGTCAATGATGAGAATATTCGGGTACGTCCACTCTCTGTATGACTACATGGTAGAGTACTTTTTCTTTCACATCTTGTTAGAGTGCAACAACTTTGTGATGTTGAGAGGATGTTTGGCATGATTGAAAAAATAGCAGAGATGCCCAAAACACCCAATATTGAAAAATAGAAGAAATTGTTGAGTTACCACTTAACAACATACTGCTCGATTAATGCCTTCATTCCCTTTAGGACAGTGAAGGAATTTAGGGTGCGTTGATCATTGACACAAATTGGATGGTTCGTAATAGGACACCAACTTCCTCACCATGTGTTAGATCTAACCCATTTCAAAGTATTGTTTGTAGTAGCAGGCCTCTTTGGTATTGAAATTGAATGTTATATTCTCCTCCCTACCTAGGACCCTTACAACTTCTCATAACCAGAGGGTATGCCTATTCATGGTTGGCGAAATTTGTAGTAGCAGGCCTCTTTGGTATTGAAATTGAAGGTTATATTCTCCTCCCTACCTAGGATCCTTATAACTTCTCATAACCGGAGGGTATGCCTATTCATGGTTGGCGAACAGCACACATCAGTGAAGTTGCTAATGAACATTGACATAGTCTGTCACTATTAGACTACCTTGATGAAATTTTTTTCGGCTTATTATCGACCTTTGATATTTATGATCACAAAGAGAAAAGGCAAAAATAATAAAAAAAAAGCTCTCACAACAAAGGGGTTCACAGAGTAAAACTAATACACGAAAGTCTAGACAAAAACAATTGGACTCTCTTAAGTTGAGGAAAACAAATATTCTTGAAAAGTGGGCTGGAGTCCTTAAAAGGCGAAATGTCATATTCATTTCCAATGTGATGTATCTCAATTTGCATAATGACAATTTAATCCTTGAAGCAAAGCTTTTTTTAATATTACACTTCATTCAAAATTTGATATTAATTTTTAATTACTATCTTAACATCAAATTGCCTCCACATGAAATGACTTCAAAAAGATTTTACCCTCACTTTGGGAAATTTCACCCTGACCGAAACTAATATTTTTATGACGGTAGTTTGGCATCAACTTTACATGCCAACAACCTATTTATATAATCCAGTATCAGCAAGGTGCATTAATTGTTATGCGATTACATATGAAAATTTACACATGAAGCTAAAAGTTTTCTCATTCATATCAAAATTTAAATTATAAAGACTTTTCAATATCTTGCTTACGTATAATTTTACAAAGGCGCTAACAATGCTTTTACATATATCTCTCATGAGGACCCTTGCAACTCATTGATAACCTTTTATTGACTGCTGGTGTTAGCTCATTGTTGCTTGTTCGATCATCCTAGGTGTTGCTTGCTCGTTCATATCGAGGGACCCATCAAGTTTGTTGGATGCATTGTCGGCTTGAGAGGTGCATCGAATTTCAGTGGCTTCACCATGACATACATCAACACCTAGATAGTGATGTCCTATGTGTTTGGATGAGCACTAGAACAACCAAATCCAACTATAAACTCAGGTTTAAATGCCCACGCCGGGCCTCATAAAGATATGTGGCTCCATGCACTCGAATTGCTTCTTGTCAAAATAGTTGAAGTTTCTAGGCTACATTTTGATCTTGGTGTCCTCCAAGGAGTCCAAGCTGGCCTGCATACCCTTGTTCATCCACTTAAAGTCGAATACTTAATCCTATGCTTTGTTCGCTTGGCCAAGGGCGATGCAATCTTCTCCTCTGCCTCTACTTCATCTGGTAGGCTTTCATCTTATCTTACATCGTCACCTCAATGATCCTGTAATTTGTCTTTGAACTCAACAACCATCACATCACTAACTATTACATAATGGAAAATTCTTCCAACCTTGGGAGGAAAAGGACCATGTTGCCACTTAAGGAATTGTTGGCCAAGCGCACTTGTGTTGTCTTCTTGAAGGACCTTAGGTCTAAAACCTCTATGTCCTAACTTAGCACAACCCCTTCCGGCTCTTTGACCATTTTGTCCGAGGCATGAATGTTTTTGCTCCCAATGACTGAGGACCACTCCCTAAATCCTCAAGTAGTGTAGCAACCATCTTATTGGACACTCCATTGTTGCTCCTTTGACTTGGAGCTCAATACTCTTGTGACACGGTCCTTCATTTATGGAGAGAGATTCTTCCTGTTTTGAAGGCCATTCTTCGTTTAGAATCTAGCCAACATGCTTCATGTCGTTTGAGCTTATATCACCATTATCAAGGAACTGTAGTTTAGTTTGAAAGTATTGCCTTACACACAACTTCAAAAGCTATAACTGTACTTGGATATTCTTGGTTCATAGCCGATCGTTCTGAAGATTTCTGAAAACATAATTTACATTATGTTGTTTTGTTGAGTTTTTTGTTACATTGTTTAACAAGCATAGCAGTTGAAAGCGAGCATAAATTCTGGTAGAAGATACTACTAACTTTCCAAGCTGATACTACTGAGGATAATCTCGTGCCTAGTTTAAGCTGATATATTTTAATTCAACATAGGAAAAATTTAGGAAGATTTACATACATACAACTCAATCTGATGTATTTGCATATCTAATATCTTTACTTTAATTTTTACATATATGACACCTTACCAATGCATGACAAGGTGTAAATTACTTTTTAAAAATCAAAATAGTGGTATTTTTTTGTGTGACATGAAAGATTTGGTTGTTATAAATGTAAAATAGTAAAGTGTAGGTGTTACATATGTAATTACATAAGAAATGGATGGTATGTATGTAAATGCCCCAAAGTTTTAAAAGAACGGCCACCATGTAAGCCTATCCAAGTTATATATATAGAACACATCCAATGCTATTTTTGTGCTAAAAACCATTATCAATAAGAGCACCTTAAACAATTATTTTGTTATATCCTTAACCATACCTTCTCTATGTTTCAAGAATCCTAGATGCAGACGAGTTTAAATTATTAATTAACAAGTCCAAATCATTAGTTGACTTGCCATTTCGGTCTAGCTGGTGTATTTTCGAGGTTAAAGATAAGGTGCATTTACATGCATACCATCCAATTCCTATGAGTTTACATATATAATACCTAAAATTTACTTTTTACATTTATACCACACAAATATTTAATCACACTTAAAAAATATCACTAATTAAAAAAGTGAAATACACCTTGTAATGCAAAGGTACCTTGTCATGCAAAGGTAAGATGGTTTATATGAAAAAATTGAAGTTTAGGTGTTAAATATGTAAATACGTAAGAACAGAGTGTTATGTGTTCGAATCTTCCTAAAGATGATTGAAAAAATTGAAGTTTAGGTGCTAAATATGTAAATACGTAAGAACAGAGTGTTATGTATTCGAATCTTCCTAAAGATGATTCAAAAGTTAAGGCTGAATGATTCAGAAGACCTGGTTGGGGTGCTTGCTTTTCTCTCTTTCTCTCTCTCTTCTCATTCACTCTCTGTCTTCTCTCTCTCTTTCTTCTCCTGCTCCCTCCCCCACCTTAATATACCCTTTACACGGATAAGTGTCTTCTTTGCACATCTGGTTTTAGTTCCTACTATGTTAATATATGAATTAATAATTCCCTGCGTGATTTATGTTTTATTAATTTAGAAAAATGAAATGGATGATTTACATACATACCACTCAATTCTTTTTTATTTACATATCTAACACTTAAACTTTAATTTTTACATACATGCTACCTTACCCATGCATGGAAAGCTGTATTCACTTTTAAAAAGTAGAAATGGTGGTGTTTTTATGTGATCTGATAGATTTGGGTGGTATTAAAGGTAAAAGTAGACTTTAAGTGTTAAATATGTAAGTAGAAAGGAATTGGGTGGTATGTATGTACCCCCCACCCCCTCCCCCCCCCGCCAAAAAAAACAGCAATAGGTACGCATATCTACCAATAATGTCTAACTGTTCTATGCACTCTTTTGACAGGTCGGGACAATAGCACTTCTGGCTTTGACAGGATTGCTGGTTTTCACTCTTTTCTTTTTGGTGGCAACATTCAATGCTGTCATTATCTCCCTTCTCATGTCTCTGGCGGCAGCTGGTGGATTTTTAGCTCTTTTCTTCGTCTTCATCACGGCAATATATGTTGGAGCACTATCTGTCGCAGCGTTCTTTATCTCGTCCATCGTTACATTAACAGTCATTGGAGTCATTGTAGCAACTGGTGAGCTTTCAATTCCTTCTTGGGGCATTTACATAGATACCACACAATTCTCATGTATTTACATATCTAACACCTAAACATTCACATTTTCATGCATAACACTCAAATCTTTAACATCACTACCTTTTTTTAAATTGAAATACACATTTATGCATAGGTTTATGATACCAAGGTGTTACAAGTGTAAACAAGGTGTTACTGATACCAAGGTGTTACAAGTGTAAATATCAAACTTTGGGTTTTAGATATGTAAATACATAAGAATTGTGCGGTATATATGTAAATTTCCCTTCTTTTTCTTTCCTTTCTTACTAGCATAACTTGGATATATTGAAGAATATGTTCAAGGGGCTTTACATGCATATGTATTTACTATCTATAAGCTAAATTTTTCTTTTTTATATTTAAACCATCCAAATCTTTCATATCGCATAACAAATACCACTATTTTAACTTTTAAAAAGTGAAATATACCTTTTCATGCATAAGTAAGTTGGCATATATCTAAAAATTGTAGTATAGGTGTTAGATTTGTAAATATGATAGGAATTGAGTGGTATGTATGTAAATTTTACTTTGTTTAAATGCCATGGCTCTAGTGCCTATTTTTGTTTGTTAAGTAGGATTTATCAACTTTTCCATAGGCATGGAACTTTGCGCAGTTTTACAAAGGGTTTCATTTTTATTCTTTTCTGGCGTGACTCAATGTAGATTATCTGCTTTAAATGCCGATTTGGTTATAAATCTATGATTGTTTCCCCTTGAAACATATCAACTAGATTGATATATAAGACATGTGAAACTTTTGTATCTTACTTATAATTTACCTATGATATATATGAGGCGTTGTTATGGACAAAAGATGGGTGGGGTGGGAAATAAATTTTATCAGGAGATTCATCAATTGTTCTAGATATGATTGTTTTAAGTTAACATCAGGGAGTGAATTTAATTTTTAATAGGAGCATAGGTACATAATAAGAATAATATCATTTTCTGTTGGATATTCAGATTCATGTTCATGAATAAATTTAATTTCAATGAAAGTGTATATTCATATTAAGAATAAATTTAGATTCTGATTGTAGTTTAGATTTATACATGATGTGAGGTTCAATTTTGGCTACGAATTAGGTTTCTAATCGAGGTTCAAATGAAGGGACCTTGATGAATGTTTTTTTGCGTATGATATAATTTTAATTGTTTAGCATTCAAAAAAATAAGTTTAAAAACAAAATAATAGAGAAAAATTTCTGTAGACGGAGGCATTGAATTAACAGAACAAAGACTAAGCATATGATATGCACTTTTAGTAAGTACAGTGTTAAAAAATTATTACTTAATATTGAATAGAAGATAATTTAATACTTCATTGTGTGAGATATAATTATTTTGAATCTTTTATACAAAAGATTGAAGATATGTATGATGTCACTTCTTAAATTTAAGTTTGAATGTAAAATGAAGAAGGGACGGGAGTTTTTTGTAGTTAGAGGATGTTAAGAGGCTGGGTGAATTTTGTAAAACAATAATTAGGTTTAGAATGTTGTATGGATCCAATTTTGGGTCCGTATGGTCATTGATTTCTAAGTCGAATAACACAAATGTGATGTTAAGATGGATGTGAGGCAATGCTATGAAGTATGTCGAGTAACATATATGCACTATCAAGCTTGATGTGAGGAATGCTAGCAAGATTAAGCTAAATGAATGATTATATCAGAGGAAATATTTGAGTGAGCCCTGTTGAATATAATATAATTGTTATTATATTTGTGTGGTTTAGATATGTATAATGAAGGTTGAAGATGCATTAGGCATGATAAAACTAATGTAAGAGCTATGGCAAGGAAAAAAAGGGGCTAGATTAGTTTTACATAGATAGAACTTGTTTAAAATGATTTGCTGAGCACCTTAGATGAGATTGAGTAAGAAGGAATGAAAAATGAGGATTTATATTTGCCAATTCAAAATTGTAAGATAAAGTTAATGATGGTGATGAATTTGAATTGCTCTTAAAATCAATTTTAAACTTAAATTCTCAATCTTGTTGAATTATAGGTTAAAGTGCACGAATATGCTCTAACATAAATGCATATATAGATTCATCAAAATATGATGAGATTTAGATATAACTGCAAATCATTTTCGATATCTAAAGCATCCTTAGAATAATATACATGAATTATCAGTTACTTGCAATCTTAATAGTGTGGTTGCAAAAGTCTCTTGCAATGTATTTGGAATGTTGCAACTTAATTCATTTATATTCTTTCTTTTAAGATCCTTAATGAAATATACAACCAAATAATCCAGTTGTAAATAATTTACTAGTTCAGTAAATCTTCTATGATATTCAAACATTCTGTAATCGCTTCGCCTACAATTTTAAATAGATCATGTAGTGGATCTCTATGTTCAGTGAATGAGTATATTGTTTTTTGAATTTGCGTTTCATTTTAATTCATATAGATTTAGCAGCAACACTGTCAATAATATTGAACACATCTATATTTATTTTGGCAAGTTTAGACATCTTCAGAAAAAAAAGAAAAAAAGAAAAAAAAAGTTTTGGCATCTTCAGCTTTTATAAATTATTGATCCGATTTGAAAAGTTTTTTCTAATATAATACCTCCTTTGAAATGGGGTGATGTAAGTTTGACTCTCATGATAGTTGTGCTTTTTTTACATAGAATCATAACCTAATTAATTTCATTTAAATTACATCATTTTTTTATTACTCCCGGTTATCTGTCTTCTAGTTCATATGATAATGCAATTTTAGTTACTGAGGCCAAATAGACTGTATGATGTATTAAGGTCTAGGCTTTCCCTGATGCAAATCTAAGAATTTATGCACAAAAATTCTAATAAGTTTAAATTTATAGTCAACAAACTTTTAATTTGACGAAAGGGTCATCTCTTTGATGAAATTTAGATAACCTGTAGGGCTTTCTTAAATGAGACAGCTAACAGGCTAATGAGTTGATTCGGGGATAGTTCAAGTTTGACTCGTTAGCTTATCAAGCTCAGCTTATGAACCATTTATCGTACCAAGCTCAAGCCGGCTTAACTCAGTTACGGCTCTACTTACATCACATGGCCTTCACCAAGTTTTGAAGATGATCATCTTACATCAATAGCTCTGTAAAGTTAACATTTTTGGAATGCCCTACATTTTTCTGTCTTTTAATGCGTACAAACGTGCCGTGGACATCCCCATGGCTATTTCCACGTCTGCCATGTGAACATGCAATGCTGTCAACACATCCTTTGAGCTCTCCCGAGATTGCTTTTCTTTGTCTTATTGTTAGTGATGCTAATAAGTGACCCAACATGACAACCTATTATGAATCTGATTTGAAAATTTTGAGTTTGAATGACCTGAATAATATATGGGCTAGGTTCAAGTCTAAAATTTTAACCCATTTAATATTCAATTTGAATTTTGATTTACATAAAATAACAAAATCAATTAAAAAATAACACATTTAACTTTTTTAGTCTAAAAAGAGTCCTCTTTCTGGCTCAGCCGAAGACCCTCCTTTGTCCAACTCATTTGAGTAAATTAAAGCAAGAAAAAATATATAAAGCATGTAATAAATGGATCACATTTATGAAGTTCAGGTCAATCTGATTTGTGTCAAGGCTAACAGGTCATTCTAACCTGTATAATAAATGTGTTCGATTTAGATCAAACAATTTTAGGTCGAGTCAAATTTCGATCAAACTTAAACTAGTGCTGTTAACCCGAATTGATACGTTTACTTCCTAATTGTCTTTGATTCTTAATGAACCTTTCATAACGTGCCTTTGATTAAACTCTGTAAAATCACTCTGGCTATTATGCTACTTATCAAGGGATTTCAAATCTAACATTCTTACACTTGTATGACCTAAGAATTTGCCACTTGTACATCTGCCTTTTCATTCTCTCTCTCTCTCTCACTCACTCACTCTCATAATAGCACGAGATAAAAGACACGTAAAGAGCCCAATTAATTCTCCAAGTTTGAATGCTTTTGAATAGTGATCAAATGTAAGGGATTTCACCATTTTTATGAGTAGCAAGGCTTTTTCCTTGTAAAAGAAGAGTTCTTTCCTATAGTTATTTACAACATTTTAGAAAACTCTACACACGTGATAACCGTGTACATAATGCTTGAATACAATGCGAAATTTTTTAGTTCTCCATAGCTTTAATGCACAATCTCCATGGTTCTAATGACTAATGAAACTTAAGGTTGCCAGCGAATGCACAAGAATTTGACATAAGATCCCCACTCATATGATGGACATGACATAGGGACTATCTATTCTTGATTTGAGTAATGAAGTTGGCTTAATGATTGCGTCAAGCTTACCCTTATATTTAATTGAAAAAGGATTATGCATGATAGTAGGACTTCTAAGAAAATGTTAAATGATTAAGATGGGAATATGACATTAACTAGGTCATACTTAAAATGGTTCCATTGGCTTGTTAGGTTTCATGAGAAATTGATTATCTCAGCTGACGCCAAGTTTAATCTTCACTAGTACTATAAGCATAGGATCCATGCTATATAGGAGTGTAAAAAATTGACCCGACATGCCAACACGACTCGAACTCGACTCGAAAAATCCAGGTTATGGTTGAACCGAATATTTTTCGAATTAGATTCGGGTCAGAGAATTCGACCAGTTTATTATTCGGGTCGGGGTCGGGTTGAACTCAAAAACCCAAACATGAGCCGAATGATAACAAAATTTCTGGTCGGGTTTGGGTTAGCAGGTCAAGCTCGGGTTCAGGTCATTTTTGGGTTGGACCCAAACTCGAACTGCTGACCCAAATTGACACCCCTAATGCTATGCTGTATGGATAAACATACGGGGACACGGACACGACATGACATAGATGCGACACTTCTATTATTGAATATATAGGACATAGACATACATCAGACATGCCATTATTATAAAAATTATTAAAAAAATATGTAAAATTATATAAAAAAAT